TGTCCGAGAATCGTTGTTTTCAATTACATTGCGAAAAATAGTTTATAATTTTAATTCTGCCGATAATATATGATCAATTGAAATTTAATAAGTGTTTACAGACATTGTGAAATGTGATGGATTTAATATATGAATCATAAGTCAGGTAAGTTCCTAAAATTATGTCTCATTTTGACGTGACTACTGCCTGGCCGCTTAAGCGGCCTCCGGTGTCTGGGGACTCATAACGTTGTGGCCGCTTAAGCGGCCTTCGGTGTTGAAAGGGTTAATGCTGCACTCTGCAGTATTCCAGCTATTTGGCGGCATGTAAGTATTCAAGTCTGGACCAGACAATCCAGTGATCAACATCATGAACATCGATCTACACAGGGTACAGTGATGTGTCAATCAAGTCATCAAGCCTAACCCCCCGATTTTTAACTAAGCAAAAATGTTGTTTTGTGTAACCTGTTTTATGAAATTCTAAAATTCTGATCACTTCATTAGTGTTTTAATTAATGTATGATCTAGGTAAAGTTGCTTCACTTTGAAAACAGCGGCTGGGAGAATTTAGATGAGAAAAGTTCACATTGGAATGAAAATTCAGAGCAGGTGTTTATATGGAGAACATTTAGAGACAGCCTGTAGGGAAGACCCCTGATTTCTCCTACCGTATTTGCCATAATACATTTAGCACTGTGTGAAGTGAAAGGAAAGAATAGAATAGAATAGAATAATACTTTAATGCCTTTTCAGGAATTTGTGTTACATCAGCAGAGCTACTGACACATCAGAGAGATACCAAACATATTTACATAAATTCTTTGATTTAGGTATCTTCACATTTGTTTAAGAGAGATATGGTACTTGGAATAAAGGATGTACGGGCTCTCTTAGTTTTCACAATTGGAACTTTGTAGCGGCGGCCTGAAGGGAGAAGGTTGTATTCCGAATTTAAGTAGTGAGTACGGTCAGATATGATTTTGACAGCTTGGTTCACGATTTGCCGCTCATATATTGATAATAAACATTCAAATCTGACTCCAGCGATTTTACTTGCAGTGTTAACAATTTTGTCTATTTTAGATTTGAGATGAACTGAGAGAGACCCGTACCAACAATGGAAGGAAAATGTTAAAATACTCTGAATGAATGCTAGATAAAAAGATGACATCACAGATGGGTTAACATTAAAAGATCTCAGTTTACGCATGAGATGAAGACGTGGTTAACATTAAAAGATCTGTTTACGCATGAGATGAAGACGTTGTTGACACTTTTTGTATAGGGCTTCAGTGTTAGAGTTCCAGTTCAGCTTAGAGTCAATGAAGGTTCCCAGATACTTATACTCCGACACTGTCTCAACACATTCACCGTTGATTATTACTGGAAGCAGTTCTGTGGGTTTACTCCGAAAGTCAATTATCAGTTCCTTTGTTTTTGTGACATTTAAGAGTAAGTCGTTTTCTGCACACCAAGTCGTAAAATGATTAATGTCCTCTTTATACAGTTCTTCAGAATCAGTGTCGCTCAGTTTGCCGAATAAATTGCTGCATCATCTGCTAACTTTACAGTTGAACAGGTTGAATTCGAAATTGCAATAATCATTAGTGTAGAGGGTGAAAAGAACAGGAGATATTACACAGCCTTGTGGTGCACCAGTGTTGGTGGTCCGCTTATCGATACAGCCCCGCTAACTTTCAATGCATTCGCTGTCTGCCCACAAGAAAGTTTTCGATCCACTTTATGAGGTAATGCGAGTTAACGCCTTCATGTCTAACAGTTTCTGTATCATGATATGTGGCTGGATAGTGTTGAACGCAGATGAAAAGTCAACTTAAGAGGATCCTGATGTATGACTTAGGTGTCTCTAGATGTTTATAGACATTATTCAGGAGTGACAATGTGGCATCAACAACTCCTCTCCTTGACCTGTAGGCAAACTGAAGCGGTCCAGTATGTCGGGCAACTTCCTGACGGAGATGTCTCAACAAGATGCTCCAGCCAATTTCATTGCTATAGATGTGAGAGCAACTGGCCTGTAGTCGCTGGAGTTGTTTAGGTTGTGTCTTTTTAGGAACTGGTACAATTTCTGATGCTTTCCAGACCCATGAAGGAATAACGTGAATATTCACCGAGAATTGAAACAATCTAGTGAAAACTGTACACAGCTGAAGTCTGCACTCCTTCAACACAAATGCCGCCAGGTCCTTTTGCTTTTCTGATGTTAATTCTGGAGAAGCTTTGAATGACGCCAGCTTCTGATATATGGATACTTCCACTTTCACTATCCTGCAACGGCTTCACTAACTTGGGCTCTCTCATTGGTAAAGTCGCTACAATCAAAGCGGCTGTAGAAAGTGTTGAGGTCCTCAGCAAAGGTTTTATTATCCCCGCGCTATTGTCTGCCGTCACGCCTGCGCTTGCCAATTATCGTGTTCACGCCTTGCCAGGCTTGTTGCAGATTGCTTTGCTGAAACTGTCTCTCAACTTTCTTTGTATATGCTAGTTTACACTCACGCAGCTTTAAGATTGATGTCCTTCTGTATGCATTTGAGTTTTATTCTATCTTTCTTCATGTATGCTCGCTTTTCGCTTAATAAAGATTTCATTTCTTTGTGATCCAGGGCTTGTTGTTTGGGAAAAATTCTGATTTCTTTTTTCTGGTATTATGTTGTTGACACAAAAATTTATATAATCGGTAATGACGCCACATTACAGCTGGCTAAGGCCAGGCTAGTGATCCAGCGAGGTTGAGGTGTCGGGATCGAGCCCACCTGTGACCGGGTGTAAAAACCTTGGAGTCAACTTTGTGTGCAGACTCTTTCAGTGTTGTCACAACCCCTAGTGTACAGTACACAACCCTGTGCACTTAAAAGAACCCACGAATCCGTTGGTATTTGACCAGATGGTGGCCACATGAATACGTGCAAACACCTAGTTGCGGGTACAGCAACGTGCAGTGAACATGGACAAAGTACTGTGACTATGTGTCCCAGTCCACCCAGCTGTGAATGGGAACCTCGTTGGGATGAGAAAGCCACAATAACTCGGTGCGCCTAGTGGCTGCAAGAGTTGTATACTCCCCAGGGAGTTGAGATTGATAATGCGATGTGCCGTTGAGATTGACATCCAATGATCGAGGGAAAAAATACCAGCGCCTTGAGCATGCACTAGTGCGTGGATATGTGCGCTATATAAATATCCTATATATATATATATATATATCTGCTAATGTTTGTTCTGCATCATAGAACATGTCCCAATCTGTACACGCAAAACATCCTTGTAGGGTTTCAATAGATTCTCTGTTCCATGATTTGACAGTCTTAACAATAGCCTTCTCTGTTTTTCACTTTTGACGATATGTGGGCAGCAAAAACACAGAATTATGGTCCGAAGCTCCTAGGGGTGGTTTTTCTATATGATTTGTAGGCGTTCTTGATGTTACCATAACACAAGTCAAGGATCTTGTCTTTCCGTGTACAACATGTTACATACTGATTGTAGGTGGGGAGCACAGACTTCAGGGTACATCCATTAAAATCTCCAAGTATGAATTTCGGCAAGATCAGGACAAATCAGCTCTAGGGATTGAACATGAATATGAACTACATCAGCTGCTTGTTTGTTATCGGCACTGGGTGGTATATAGACACTCACAGCAAAGATCTGACCTAATTCACGTGGTAGATAAGTAGGCGCATAGACACTGATAGAAGTTCGATGTTTGGTGAACATATCCTTTCTCTCACAAGATAGTTACGACACCACTTTTCATTTATATACATACATACACCTCCTCCAATAGATTTCCTGTAGCATCTGAATCTCTGTCTAATCGAACTGGAGTACCAAATCCTTCCAAATAGAGGGTGTTACTGTCCACGGAGGGTGATAGCCATGTCTCCGTGAAACATAGAATGCAACTGTCTCTGAATTCGCACAAATATTTTGTGCTTGCCAAAGTTCGCCAAGTTTATTCTAAGAGACCTCACGCGTTTGATAATAGAAAAGTTGGAAGAGGTGGTCTTGATTTGCGCTCCTGAACTCGTCGGCGGACTCCTCCCCGCTTACCTCGTTTCCTAGTAACTTTTGATCCTGAATTTGAATTATTCCCCTTGTCTGAAGCACATTCCGAGGGCAAGTCTCTAAGTCCTTTCAACTCCAACGCGGTTTCCTTCAGTGCCAGCAGCTCTTCACGTCCATACTGGTGCCAATGACGTCCATCTTGGTTCGCCGTTACGGAGTCATCTAACGGCCTCCAAGACAATGACAAGCAGCGGACAAATATACTTAGCGTCATCGCTAAAATCACACACCGGTGGAATCCATTACTCCGAATGAATGCTAGATAAAAAGATGACATCACAGATGGGTTAACATTAAAAGATCTCAGTTTACGCATGAGATGAAGACGTGGTTAACATTAAAAGATCTCAGTTTACGCATGAGATGAAGACGTTGTTGACACTTTTTGTATAGGGCTTCAGGGTTGTTAAGCACAAAGATACGGTTCCTCAAAAGATACTGACTTGTGTAGATATAAAAACAATGGGAGCTCTGTTGATGTCTGTCGCCAGCAGAGCAGCGCAATCTATCATACAAGGGATGTAACGAGGTCAACACACCAAGTTCGTTTCAGGGCGAATTCAACAATGCTCACTGTATCTATCCCATTTAAAGTATGCACACGTTTCAAGCCAATAGATTTACCTACAAAATAAGACATAGAGCAAAAAATTCGAAGCAGTACTTTGGGAGCTGGTGTCTTCGGAAACTTGAAAAGTCTTGATTTCTGGATTCCGAGCCAAAATCCCTGCTCGGAATTTGTAGCGGTAACTCACCCATTTTCTTGTTTATTTCACAGTATGCACAACCGACATGCACCAAAACATGTTGAACTGAAGGCACCTGTCAGCGCGCTAGTCAGAGACACTTACACCTCACTGTCATAATGAGTTTACGTACATTTATTTATCGCAAAAAAAATTGTGTCATACCCGTTCGCCATTGACGACCTAAGCCTTAACCTGCCAAAACATTTTTACGAGGAGTGAGTCAAGTTCTGTTTGGATTGACCGCCTCCGTGGTGTAGTGGTTTGAGCGTCCACCTGGAGAGCGGAAGGTCACGGGTTCGATCCCCGACCGTGTCATACCAAAAGAGGTTAAAATATGGTACTTGTTGGTCCCTGCCTGGCACTCGGCATTAATGGATAAAGCAAGGACTGATCGGCTCGGAGTCAGTATGATGTGTCTGAGTGGGGTATTCATGCTTCACTGTGGTGTGGTATCTCAGTGGGCTAGTACTATAAAACCAGCTTCAGTCTGGGCTAGTACAAGCAACCGCATATACACACGCATGCACGTCGTCATATGAGCGAAATATTCTCAAGCACGACGTTAAACCCAATTCCACCACCACCACCACCACCACAGTTAATGACATCAATATTGATATACATTCTGGCTTGTGGGATCAAAGGTTTTCACTAGGAGGTCAAGGCTGTAGATGAACATGCTTTTAATCCACAGTATGATTTCACATTCTATAAAGTAATATAATGTAACCTTCAGTCATATTCACTCAACTGGAAGGCATATAACTTTCTAAATTTATATTTTATTTTATCACAGTTTCATACCATGTCGGGGGGGATTATGTCCCCAGAAGCCAAGGCTGACAATGTCTATCACTGGATTGTCTTGTCCAAATTTAACTGTTTACATAAATTTGTCATGGTTACAGACTATCTATAATCAATGGAAATATAGCTGCGAGCAGCGATGTAGGGCTCCTTGGGTTTACTTCTTTGGAGCCTTTTGCATCTCTCACATATCTCATGAATGTAGTTATGGTATTAGTTAATATGAATCATATCACTGCTAGTCAAATGCTCTTCGACTGGAAGTACTGGGAGGTCATTAAGTTTCGGTAAACTCATCACAAAAACTATTTTCGTACATTAAATAATATCACTTAGGTATCATGAATATCAAAACAGAAGAACCCTTTGTTCAAACAGTCAGAGAAACAGAAAAATATGTGGCCTGAACTAAATAATTTGAAAAGTTCACTGTGACTGACATTATATGAATGTAAATGTACGTCACATGTAGCTGACAAGTCATGATTCACATTTAACGGTCAGTCAACACAACTCATGTGTCATTTTACCGAAAGAATGACATTTTCATACTCTTTATCATGGTGCATTGCCTACTGATAGAGGTACCTGGCGAGTTTAGTCGCGGATTTTTCTGCACTGTTGGTAGACACCATTTCCATCTAAATATCAACAGCAACCAAATAGACATGTCGACACGAAGCACTCGTGGTTCTGTATTTCTGTAGCGTTTATCAATATCCATAACGCTGTTCCTCTCACGCTGACACAAGTGAACATGTGGTTTTACAGCAACTAAGGTACTCCAGTAGGGTATTCTCGGACGTGGACATCCTAAGTCGTGGTAAAAACAAAGTCAAGAAAAATGTGTCCACTTTGGGTTACTTAGCTAATTAACCCTAGATAATAGACAAAACAAAATAAAAATAAAGAAAAGAAAATAAAGAACAAGATACCAAGTGCATTTTATGTTTATACGTTATTACTTGAATTCAGTAAAGCGGTTAGTTTCAGTTATATAATTCTGTACGGATTTTATAAGATTTTCATTGTCTAAAGGAGATAAATCGTCATTGCCGTAACAGTATTTGCATTCTTACATAGCTTTCGCACAACACACTTCTCTCGTCATTGTCAATTGAAATTGACATCGTCTCCCATATCTGCACGTGGACCATGCTTTGCAGTAGTAGTCTCTCTATAGGAGATATCGTCGTTGCGCTTTCCTTCAGACTGTCGCATGCTTTGCACGGGTAATCCGCCGTGCTGCAAATGTCGATGAAACTTATGACACATTCGGCAATGTATCCCTGGGCCGTCGGTGATATAAAGAAGTCCCTATTTTATTAAATCTGTCCAAACTTTGGGGTTTTGAGTGTAAGTATTATTTATGATGACTGGTACGTTCTTGGAAGCCTTTTTGCGTGATGCTTCGCGTGTTCTGCCTGGAGTTGTGGGTCAGTTTGTTTGGCACTCTTTTTCTTTCATTTGGGGCACGTCTCAAATAGCATTTTTCCTTTTACCTCCCATGTTGAACAGATGTTTTGATCGCCGTAGCGCTTTGCACATTTATGGCTAACAAGAAAATGTTCAAAGTTTGAAAAATGCCTACCCCACAAAATTCTGCACATTTCCGATAAACATCTTCAATCCAGTGATCACGTGACTTTGACATAGGACCAAGAACAGAAAATGTTCCACAACCAAAGGCCACTTCAGAACAAGCGTTTAAAGTGTTGTATGTGCTAAGTTTGGTTTGGCACAAAATGGCAAAGAAGCCTGTGAAAGTTTTTGAAGACAACTTTTGCCCAGAAGTAGCGTCCAATATGGCGCCATCAAATACACATAGCCACATTTGACGATGCTACTGTGTAGGAAGGTGCATAGACACAAAGTATGCAAAGTTTGAAAGCCGTAGCTCTTGTAGTTTCAATGCAGCACATTTTGGGAGGAAAGTAGTCAGCATTTTGCTGAAAAACATCACCAAAAACTTCAATCATACATAGCGCCAAACGGTGCATTTTAGCGACTTGGAGCCTTACAGGCGAAATTGTAGGCATTTTGATTGCGCATCTGCTCAAGAACTTTGGCACACATTGGAGCATTAGTTTTGGAGATATTTGCATTTGCATTTGAAATTTTTGGAATTATCTGCCCTTTGCTATTGGGCCTACAGCCTAGAGATTTTAAAGCGCGATATGTACACCTCGGTGGGCATCTGGGTGATTTTTCTCAAGGCATTCTGTCCAGCGGTGCTCTCTGTAGCTCTGGTACAAAATATGGCGGAAGAATAAATAATAATAATAATAAAAACACGAACAGTAGTATAGGGAATGGGGGTTCTGTGACAGGCCGATTAAGAGCGTCATTATATATCTATTCCGCTTCCAGCCCCCAGTATAAATTAACGATTTCGAGCAGAGACACCATTCGATGCACATCCCAGACCCTTATAGGAGCCTTAACATCTGTAGGGTACCATGAGTTTCGGCAACCCCGGGCGGGAACGAGGACGGCGCCAGCCACCAGTTCCCCAATGGGGATTAAGAGCGTCATTATATACCAATTCCGCTCGAAAGCAGAGACATTCGATGCACTCAGTGGTTTATGAGCCGCAGTGCGTGACAGAAAGTCGTGATTGCCGGGCGGCGATCCACCGCTTGGTGTCCATGGGCGACAGCGACGTCTTGTTGAGGGTGATGCCGTAGATGTTGTGTTTGTCGCTTCAACGCCGTTCATTCGGTGTTTGAACGCCTTATTCTTGAACAGAGCTTGTTTGAAGAGGACGCGCTTGATGTGTTGTTTCACCACGCATTTCTGACCCCTTTGCCTTTCTCGGATCTCACCCTTTGTCAGCTTTCAAGATGGAGTACATCTTAGGCCTCAAGCCGACATATTCGCAATGGGTGTGCCCGCCAAGATTCGTCCTTCATCTTGCCAAGGACCTTTTGTTGATCGTGTTGTGTAGGGCATGGTCCTTGGGGTAATCGCTGGTGTCGTACAGGTGTATGTGTTTTGCCATGTCCTTGTACACGTCCTCGGTGTGTATATCTAGCAACAAGGAATCTGTGTCCGTGTACAGCAGCTCGCATCGATCACCGTATTGCTTCTTGAGCCGGTTGTAGTAGAAATCATACATGAGATGTTTGGACAGGTCGAGAATGCTCATCCCGACGTAGACGGGTCGGTTGAGCTTGATGTGACTTTTGTTCATGTGCAGCGCTGCCAAGTCGTTATCGAATAGCTTGCTTGCGAGTTTGACCGTCACCCGTTTTCTCAGGTTCTCCATCGTCTTACCAAACACCGAGTTGTTCATGAGCTTATACAAGTTCTTCTCGAAGTCACTGGTGGCCAGCTTTCGCAGGTCCGTGTTCATTCTGATGTAGGGCTCCATCCAAGGACTTTGGTCAAACTTCAGCACCCTATGAATTTTGGTCAGTTTCATACCCAACGATAGGTACAGCTGCAGGTTGCGATAGTGCACGACGTACTTGGTCTTGTTCATCAAGTTCGGGACAAGTTTTTCCACCCGAGCCAGGGTGTTCTCACCCAACAAGTCCCGCTGATAGTCGGACATCCAGTCTCGCAGACCATCAACCGCTTCGGGGCCAGCGGGTAGCTGTTGTGAGCAGCGTGCAATGCCTCAGGATACTCAGATCCACTTCGAGGATGTAACCCTTCCCGAATCCGCGCGATGCTCGTGGATATCGATCTCATCGTCCAACCACTCAAACCCACCAGTAGGCAGAGACTGACTCATAGCCCAACCGCATAGGTTGTTGGCCGAGGTAGAGGAGATGATTGGTGGGCTTGCTAGAGTCGTAGCCTTCCATCGCACTTTATTGTTGGCTCTTATGCGTACCGCTTGGCAGCCATGGAGATCCCACCTCGCAATCCTTCTTCGATGAACAGGTGCATGTCGTAATCCGTGAGCAATTCCAGCTTAACTCTGGTTTTCTTCAGCAGCGCATCCCACGATAGACCGGGCTGGTGTAGTACCATGCAGGGTCGAAGTTGATACTGTTTCAAACACGCCCTCCTAAACGCCTTCGAACACATCGCTAGCAGGAGCACGTCCGCTTCAAGTACAGATCGTGGTAGTCACCCATATTCTTACATCCCAGTTTCTCCCACACGCCGCTGCCGCGTGGTCGTAATCGTCCTGGGAGATATGGGATTCGGTCAGGCTGCTGTAAAATCGACCGATGGGAGGTAATCGGTCTCATCAAACTTAGACCAATCATCCATGTACTGTGATGGGAATATTTCCACTCCTGAGGATTGTATAATTCCAGTGCCGACACGCCGTTTATTCATTCCGTTACCGATTTGGCAGCATAATCTGGAGCGTTCATTTCATTATTGCATATACGCAGCTTGTTGTTCAATCCAGACCGCTTGTAAGAACTTGTCGGGCAGCATCTACCGGAGGGAAGGTTCCGCCAACTGCCGTTTGAATTATCGCCAGTACAAGAAATCTATGTCCCAACATGCGCAACAAATATCTCATTAATACCGAACATGCAGAAGATACGTAGACCATCGCTATCAGAGAGACGAGAAAAGCCGAAAGAGGCGGCGTTAGTCCGCGACCGAAGAAGGCATATGCTCTGGCTCCGCAGTTAAAGATGACGCTTCAAATAATTATTGGCAGCCAACGCCCATCTACCAACGCCAATCAATAAGTTACGGCCGGTTTCATCGACTACAAGAGATTTTCGCGTATTGACCCGTTTACCGAAACAGTTTCCGGAGAGCTGTGAGAGCTCGTTTTCGTTGCGAAGTCGCAATCGAGTCCGTTCCAGACAATACCGGTTATTCATCGCTGTATTGTCGAAACTCAACACGCTAACTAAACCCCATTAACAGCCAGAGCCTTCAATTTGGGGTTAGCGAGAACCGAAAGCAAATCGGTGACACTGGCAGACTGGCGTGGATCGTCTGAAATCGATTACGAAAATCCTCCATCCGACGCGTAAAGTCGGGAAGCCGTATCGCGATAGAGTTTCGCCTGTTGTTCAATAACCGAAGAAATACAAACGATTAAACAAACTTCCACAGACGGTAACCATACAGCACTCAGCAAAACGGTGGAAAATCGAACAGTCGAATGCCAAGTTTCCGCAGACGTCATCAGGGTATCTTCGCAGTTAAACAGCCCGACGGTGAATCGCATTGCCCCGCTGAAGAGCAGACTATTCACGTTATCGGGGAGAAAGCCAGAATCGGCCGCAGCAGCATTTGCCGAGCATCGTCCAATGGCAGATATCTTCCAGCTGCCAGATACGTGCGGAGTTAGTCAATAATGCCGTTACAGCCAGCCGACAAAACGACACCAAGTAGCAGACAGCCAATAATTCAGTCGGAAGTTATCCGGCTTGCCTTCGTAAAGACAGTAGTAGGGAATGGAGAACGCCACCGTAGCACGAAAGGCTCTTCCTCAGTTCAACCGCAGAGTAAACAGAGACGGGTAAAGAAGTATTCCGGATCTGTTCAGTCGAGGAAAACTTATCGCAAAGAAATGAAGAAGCTAAAAAGCGACCACGCGGTTGAACGGAGCAGTTAGTAGTTATGTCATTCTGGTAAGGCAGAAAGACAGCACGTTGGGTACGCACGGGAGCTTCCACCGGAGAAGAAGGGTCGGGAGCAGAATACGTTTATCGAAGAAGTCAAGAAACAGGTAGAAACAGCCCTTACAAACGAAAATAAAGACGCCGTACGACGAAATGTCGAACAAATCAGAAGCGACAGAAATACCGTTTAAGCAAACATTGAGCGCAAGCCGGAAGAATCACTTTGCGGAAGACACCACGGCCACGACGGAAAACGCAGTTGATACTGCAGGCTGAATAAACGAAGAAGGCTCTTCCGCAATGTCCGCTGTAGTCCACCGGTATCCTTCCAGAAAGAGGGAAGCGACCATTATCTCCGGAAATTATCGCATATTCCCAGACTTCCAGAAAGTTATCTTTCAGCAGAAACCCAGAGCACCGGCAATTACCTGCCAGACTAAAAATGCAATCATTGTAGACCGGAATAGCCTTCACTTCAAAGGCAACCAAACTTTCAGATGTACGCAGGCCTGAAATATGTGCCTGTCGCCGCAGTAAACATTCGAAGCAAGAATTGTATTGTATTCGCCGCCAGCAAACTCACGAACAGCCAACATGGGCCATTTCTGTGAGTAAGCGAAACAGAAAACTTTGGTGGAAATGCCAGCTTCCGTAGTAGAAGATAACAATTGTCAAAAAAATGAAAGAAGGGACCGCGCGTTGCAGTTTGTGCCCGTCACCAATGGAATACCGCTGCATTCAACTATTACCTTCGCTGCTTATTTGCAAATCATTGCATGTCAGCGGCCTGGCATGCTGTTGTTCATTGCCTTCATTTGCTGCCCACAGAAATAGTCTACAGTTCCTTCTTCAGTATGTAGCCTTGGGCTTGTCGGTTCTTCTAACGGGAAGAGGCCTCTCGCCATAAGGGCATGTCGAGATGTAATATTGCGCACAGTATGTTCTCGGTCAAGCACAATATTTTGCCTTCGAAAGGGCCTTGTTGCCATCGCCCGCGAACGGGTGCGTTGTAGCCTGCAGCCCGTGGGCGCATCTTCCGTTACGGCTTAGTAGTTCACTCCGCCGTTTGGGCATCTGCCGCACCTCTGGACTGGTGACGTCTTCTTCTGCCTCTTCCCATCGCTTTTCATTTCCTTCTTCGTCGCCCTTTGTTCAGTTAACGGTTGAAGATGTTTGACCGGCACCTCTGCTAAGCATTGCTTGGCAAAACAAGCAAAATTCTAGGTTCTGTCTAGTGTGCCCCAGTTTGTCTAGTCTGCACCTAGTGTGCCCCAGTTTGCCTAGTCTGCACCTAGTGTGCCCTAGTTTCCCATATAGACAATTTTTTGCGACTGTAGATATATAGTACAACCAAATGCCTCCAAAAAGACAACTATCGCAAGACCAAGTGGAGGAGATTCGCAAGTTGCGTGGAAAAGTCCCAGCACAAGAAACGAGACAACGATTCGGCATCGGCTCCAATCGACTACGCAAAATATGGAACACGGCCCCGGAACCATCTAGCGACACCACTGGAGAGGAAGCATTGCCCCCCAGCACAGACGCATTGCCTGCGGCTATCTTACCCACTAGCCAGACGTCTGCCGGCATCGTATTGCCTGCGGCCATCTTGCCCCCCAGCGAGAGCGTACTGCCTGCTGCAGAGCCGACTGTGCCCACCATCCAGGACTTCTACGACCGCTTGGGGAGGCTAGAGGCTCGTGTGGAGCAAACTGTGGCGATGTCGGCTCGTGTGGAGCAAACCACGAATACGTTGCCGGCTCGTGTGGAGCAAACCACGAATTTGTTGGTCGACATCTTGTCGATGCTGGACAAGGACGACGAGGAAGAGGAAATAGAAAGCGTCGAGGAGGAGCAAGAAGAGACCCGTCTGGATATCCAGAAGGTGCGGCAGATGCTAGAAACAGCCCAAAGGTGGACCTACCTTTTCGCTAGCCGCTGTTTTTCTCTGGAAGGTCGCCCACAAGACCTGGAAACACAGCACACCACCACCACCGGTCCACAAGCAGGCCCACGAGACGACAACAGCAACACCAAAACATAGGGACCCCTTCCAAATGAACTAGAAAAAAAATAAAATATTGTGCCCAATTCGAAGTATATACTGTGCTGTGTATACATCTCGAGCATGCATATTGTATATAGCAGAGGAAATACACCTCACTTCCCATTCGAGGAATTCGACAAAGCAGAGGCTGCATACTGGAAAGAGGACCCTATGGAGTATTCTTCTGTGGACGAAAAACTACGAGAAATGGCTGGGGAAGGCCCAATAGACCAACCAGCTCGTATACTAGGCCACTTTGGCAAACATACAGCAAAACAGTTTGCAAATCGTAGCAGAATGTATATCGTTGGGTACGCGAGAGGTATTCTATTCTGTATCCCTGGTGGGACTATTTGTTTCTAGCTGTATACTACAGACACCAGTCTATCTTTGTTTTTTTGTGGTGTTGTCTTTTCCTGACCTACTCTACAGAGAAGCAAGCTGTCTCCTTTCCGCAGGGCTTCTACTCCACCAAGTTTTTCTATTTCCTTCTCTAGAAAGCATCCATATGTTGGTATTTCTGATGTCTGTGGTGGGTTCCCATCTTCCCCACTGGCAGCAGATACAATACAATTCTTGCTTTCCCTCGAATGTTGCAGCGCAAACTTTCTGCACATGTATTTTCCAGGCTCGACATCTAGAAGTTTGGTTGTATCCTTTGGAAGTGGGCTATTGCAGTCTCTACCACAATGGTTTGCATTTTTTCGTCTAGCAGGTCATTGTAGTCTTGCTCTATCTCTTCGGTTTCTATAGAAGATAGCTTCTAGGATCTGGGGCAACTACTACGGCAATAGGATTCCAGAATATGGTCCTTCCATCTTTCTGGAAAGTTCTGGTGGGTTCTATGCGGATGTGCAGGCCAACAGGGTATTCTTCGTTGCTGGCCAAGCTCTTGGTATCCAACACGCTTTCCGTCCGTATTTGTCCGTAGTGGTCTCCACAAAGTCGTGGTTCTCTTCCAGCACACGCCCAATCTTTTGTTTGCCCAAACCACAATTGGTATTTCTACGCCTTTTGCAACAAGACTACTCTGCTGGATGTTTGTCCTTCTGGTTGTTTGCGTATCCTAGAATGGACCATGTAGTATTTGGTAACGCCTGCTATTTTTCCGCTTGTGTATTTCAGTAGAGCTGTTTCTACCTCTTTGCGAGCTTCTTCCGATCGCTTTGTGTATTCCTTTTCTCCCGCATCATTTCTCCGAGTCGCCCCAGTTCTTTTTCTCACGCTGCTCTTGTTCTATCTGCCGTGGCTGTCTTTCTACCTTCTAGGATAGCCCATGCTTCTCTTCTCCATTCTTCCACGCGTGCTGCTTCTTGTATTTCTTGCAATCGTTTTCCTCGACCCCTAGTAGATCCAGAATATACTTCTCTGTCTTTGCAATCTCTGGTACTTCCTGCAGTTGGAATTTGAAGAAGCCTTCCTATGGTGCTACATTTGGCTGTTCTCCATTCCCACTCTACTGTCTTGCAAGAAGGCAATAGAATACTTGATCTGCTCCATTTGGGTGTAGCTGGGTTGGTCTTCTACCGCAGACAGTATCGTTTTGGCATCGGGATCCTTTGTATAGCAACGTAGTGGCCCTAGCTCCACACCAGTATCTGTAGCGGAGAGTATATCTACCCGAAATATTGGACATGCTCGAAACCAAAATCTGCTGCAGCCCATTCTATGGCTTTCTCCCACGTAGCATCGTCGCCTGCTCTTGTAGGGGCAATACGGACCCCAGAAATTCTACCCGCCTCCGAATGTGCATACCAAACTACTTAAGATGGTGCCCTGTGGACGATCTGCCAGAACGAGACACAGCGTCTAGACATTTCGATAGGTTTTTCCATTGTTTTGCTGGGGTTGTACTACGAACAAGTTGGTGTCTGTAGGAGATACCATCTGTAGAGTTTGTTCTACCAAATCGCTTGCTATTTCTTCCGAAAGTTGTGTGGGTGTGCGTAGAGCTTAAACTTCTATGCGAAAGTACAACCACGAAGCTTGCACGTCTGGATGCAGGAAAGTTTTCCGCAAATGTTGATTTGGGCAATCCACATAGTCTGCCAGATGTCCTCCGATTTGCTCCGGACTTCTCCTGCTTCGAAATTGGAAACAACCTTGTTGTAGAGTTTCGCTCGCATTGTATAGCCATTCCAGGTTTCGACCCAAGTACAGACGTGGGCCCCAACACTACCCGTGATTGTCTAGGAATTGTTGGACTGTTCGACTGCATAGCAGAAGCCAAGTCTCCTTTTGCTCTCGGAAACCATGTTTCTTCCAAAGGTATTCCACCAGTCGCTTGCGGTCCAGTACACCAGAAAAATCTCTTGTATAGTCGATAGAATACAGCCCATAGCCGTGCTAGTAGTTGGCGCTCTAGTTTTGGAATCGACGTTTGTAGCTTGCCAATGGGTATTTCGGAAACGCCTATCTTTGCTACGAATAGAGCATATGCCTTCTCCCGGATATAGTTCTTGCCACTTTTCTTTCGCTTTCTTCTCGGCTCTCTCTCTATTCTAGCCGATGGTGCTCCGTGATTGCCCCACAGTTGTCTTCTCGTATTCCTATTGTGTGTAGGATATTTGTTTGCACATGTTTGAGTTTGCCAAAGACTCTTGTACCGCGATGGAGATTCTGGAAACGATGAGTTGTGCGGAACCTTCCCTTCCAGTCGCAGCACGATACCTTGTACTACTTGAGGGATGGGCCAGGCAGACAGGAATTATTGATTCCAGACAACGTGTCACGTGATGCGTGGGTGCGCATGATCTACCCGTTAAACTGACCTACTTCAGCTAAGTCCGCGGTAGCTCAGTCGGTTAAGTGGTGCGGCCCATTATGTATAGTCTGCGCAAGCTGTGTATGTGGGTTCGTATCCCGCCGTTGTCTCTGCAACTTTGTGTGATGTGAGAGAAAGGCAGCCGGCACAATTCCCCTTGGGAGGAAGCGCAATACATTTCTTTGGGAATTGTGGCTGCCGGGGACATTTTGTTTGAAATCCCCGACTAAAGTCTTATTTTATGAAATAAAGCTCTGTAGTAGATGGTAATGGTAAGGGTCCAACTAAGGCTTTATCTATTAAATGAAGCCTTAGATTACCCTGGTCCAGGACTGTCATCCTGTCTACTACTTCAAAGAGACTGTAAAATAACTAGAGTATCACAGATGGTGTCTGAAACTAGCACGGAAATTTAAAACTATTTTATTTACGAAGACAATACAATATAAAAACGTTCCATAAGTAGACAATTGTAGGTAGATCGCCACACTAGGGACCATGGGGACGTACAGTGCTTGGACTAATATAAATGACAATACAACACAAAACAAAATCTTGGCACAACTCTTGCGTGTTCGGATGTACACAATGAAATATTGCACTAAATATTAAACTAAAATTTTCATGACTACCAAATATTGAAAATGACTCTCAAAAATAAATACTGTGAGTCGCCATGACTCCCATTTTTCAAAGTAAAACCTTGCCTATGTTTCAGCTCCACGATCCGGCCTGGCAGCCAAACACTTCATTGATGTAGGAGGTGAGATCTTTTGATTTTTCTACTTTCTTTCTTTCTCCTCCCTCCATTTCCCTCCAGTTTGTTAAAGCATGTTAACAGGTTCCTCAAAATATTTCAGTAGCACTATATAGGTCATAGAAAGCCATATATGTTCTATAGCGGTTTTATTATTTCAATGATTAACTGTCAACAGCTTCTACATATGATATACATGTGTATATAGTCTGGCCTTAAAGCGACAATATACACAGAAAATGAGCCTGTTCCTATTGCAAAGGTCGGTGCTCGTGATGTTGATCACTGGATTGTCTGGACCAGACTCGAAACCACTCAAAGAGGCAACAGCTCTACACAAGCCACAGTAGAGACATCTGCCCCCTCAATTAATCAATAAACAGCTTGAAATTAACTGCAGTCCATTTCAGCACTAGCCAGTGTTTGAAAACAGGACTAAATGTTGAAATACATGGTCAGTTTTAATTACTGGATGGCTGTACAAGTTTTAAGAAAAAGGCAAAAATCTGACAAATCATCCAATCACAGCTGCCAAATTATTCAGTCTGCACTAAAGGTTCCCTACAAATGATTCTTGTTTAACTACGGATTCTCAGGGTTGGAAATAACCCATTGCCCGACGTCTGAGTCCAGTGTTTTTTTCTGTCGGGCAAGCACATTTGTATATCACGCTGTACCGTGTCCAGTTGACATTCCAATGTTAATTATGTTGTTTATTTAAAAAATCACCAAGAAGATCGGCCGGTATAGCAGGAAAATTATCAGGGCAAGTGATTTTACATGTGCCCTGTACAGGAGTACACTAGCAATTTAAAAGTTATTTCTACCCCTGATTCTGATACAAAGTGTTATATTTGGTTGCGTTGTATGTTTCAGCTGGTGTTATAGACCAGGACTACAGAGGTAATGTTGGTGTTGTCATGTTCAACTTTGGCAAACAAGATTTCAAAGGTGAGACAAATTTCTAATATAGACCTATTAAACTCCAGCAGAGCTACAGATAACTTTTGGGGTCATTGAGTTATGTACTCACTCGTGTTCATCTCAATTGGGTATCCTAATTTTTCTTTGAGTAACCAAATAAATTGTACTCAGCTCACTTAAACTCAATTGGGTTTTTTGCCATTTTCCATTAAATTTGAAAATATAGTGAAGTTTAAAAGTTATTTTTTGTTATTTATATTTGATCTGTAAAATGAGAAACGATAAGAAAGACTGCAAGTTGTCAAGTTCATGTCCTAAAATAGAACCTCTCACTATACCTCAGTTATTTTATCTATCCACCGGTACACAAGCTAAGATTTGACATCTTTGTGTGTACGCATGTAAGATAACATTTATTGAGTATTTACAAAAATTCAAGCGTACTTGTACGCAATAGACTGAATAGAAAATGAGTTTTCACATAAATATTTGCGTAATTTACGCAGATACGCAGCTTATCTGTACCTCTGACTCCAGGTTAGAATTGTCGTCAGCAACCCATGCTTGTAAAGGGTGACTAATAGGATCGGGTGGTTGACATTGTATCTAAATTATGTGGATCGATGCTCATACTGTTGATCACTGGATTGTCTGGTCAGACTTTATTGACTTCCGGTTACCTGTCCATGCATGTAGGACACTGAAAAAAATCGCTCTCCTAAATCCGCCAAAATCTAACTAAAATGTCGACAAATAAAGGCCGAAATAGACACCAGAAAGACACAGAAAGCCAATCAACCTCATCCGGATTATTAGATGAATATATTACAAGGTCCAAGGCTGCGGCGACTGAAAACTTCAACGATCCTAAAACAACAACGAAATCAGGGGACGCCGCCATTACAGTTGAAACTTTCAACGATATGAAAGCTTACATGGACCAGTGTCTGAAGAAGTATAGCAGTGACATTTCGGCCAAGATTGACCACATCAGTACGGACATTACAGAACTACGTGCCTCTCTAGACGAGACTCTAAAAACAGTCGAATACAACGCACAGGAAATAAACAACAACAAGGCCGACATACACAAACTGAGACAGGACTTCACAGATTACCGGACCGAAATGGAGCGAAGATTTCAACAGCAGGAGCTATATCAGCGGAAATCCAATTTACTTATCTACGGTATTCCAGACGACAAGGACCCGGAGACTGCTACACGTGAGTTGTTTACACAACTAGGGCTACCCCGTGCACGAGAGATGATGTTTGTCAACATCCACCGTCTACCCCGACTTGGTAATTGGGAACGCACTAAGGACTCCCCTAACCTATAGTGGTGAAGTTCGTGCAAATGCAAGACCGAAATGATGTACATCAAGCTTCTGTCAAGAATTGGAAGATTATGCGGGAGCAGAGAATATCCATCCGGACCGACCTCCCGGTCATGCTGAAGAAGAGGCGCTCGCATCTTGCTGCGAAGGGATATGAGCTTCGACAGCAACACCAAGTTCAAACAAGGATCCTCGAGAAAGGAGTGGACATCACCCTACAATATCGACGAGATATGTTTTCCACTTGGAAAGATATCGGACTGGATGACTCTATGAAGATCTAGTGGCCTACACCCCTTGATTGAAGGAAATACAACGGCCCTCTTGCGATCTTGTGATCGTTTTCATTTGCACGTGCATCTGTTTACAAGCAATAACCCCGTGATTATCACGTGACTTATGCTTGCGTCACTAATTTGCTGTGCTTCAACACTTCGGATGTTTCTCCTTTTCTGTGGACTTGTAAAGTCAAAAATATGGCAGAAAGGTACGTTGATGTAAACAAAGCAATTTCCAAACATAATCTTGTCTCTGTTAGGAAAATAATATATATTGTTATATCATACTATTCTTTTCCTTTTATTCTAAAAATTGTCATATGTTGAGTGCAACTCTCAAATCACCAGGTATTTCGAGAAATGTTCCATTTTCGATCACTACTATGACATGTGTACGTTCGGCACCCTATTTTTGGATTGCTTTATATATGCCAACAAAGCTATTGTCCGCTTGATTATATCACCCCGTGGCTATCACGTGACTTGTGCACCCGTGACTTTAGCAATACGGACTTTTTCTTTCTCCTATCCATGGATATGTATTGATCATAAACACGATAGAAAGATACGTTGAGGTAAACAAATTTATTTATAATCATAGACTATCCTCTATAAGGAGAATATTAATGTTTTGATTTTTAAAACTTGTCATATGCAGGTCTTTAAAATGCTTTCATTCCCACGTGTAAATGTTTACAAACAATGACCCTTGACCATCACGTGACTTGAGCATGCGCCACTGTGTTGCTGCGCTTCAACACTTTGGATGTTTCTTCTTCTCTGTGGACTTGTACAGTCAATAACAGAAAGGTACGCTGAGGTAAATATATCTATTTATAAGCATAGACTAGCCTCTGTTAGGAGAATATTAATGTTTTGATTTTAAAATTTGTCATGTGTAGATGTTGTAAAAGTTTTCATTCCCACGTGTACCTGTTTACATACAATGACCCCGTGACCATCACGTGACTTGTGCATACTACACTATGCTGCTGTGCTTCAAAACTATGGGTTTTTTATTTGTTGTTGGTATATGTTAACATATGTATTGATTTAAGTTAACAAGGTTATTGTCTATTCGATTACATGACCCCGTGACTATTATGTGACTTGACCATGCGTCACTGTGTTACTGTGCTTCAGCGGTTGGTATGTTTCTTCCCTTCTGTGGACCTGTACAGTCAAAAACATAACAGAAAGGTACGTTGAGGTAAACAAAGGAATTTCCAAACATAATCTAATCTCTGTTAGGAAAATATTATTCTTTTGATTTTTTAAATCCGTCATATGCTTTCTGTATAGATAGAAAGTTACGGTGAGGTAATCAAAGTTATCTTCTAACATAGTTTCGATTAGGAAAACAGTATTACCTTGACTTCTGTCATATGTAGAGTTAAAACTCACAAATCTTAAGGTATTTCAATAATTATTTTGTTTTCAATCACTAAGCTCACATGCTTCAGTACATTATTATTCTATTCTATAAGCTATATCCAATCATAACTTCTGTTAAGAGAATACTATAGTTCTGACTTTTGTGCTGTGTAAAATTAAAGCTCCAAAATCTCACCCGTACATATTTGGTACTTCAGTATTGCACTTGATTATATGTCGACAAATAATTTTTCAGTTGATTATATCTTCCGGTGGATGGAAGTGGAAACCTTCTTTGTTTTGCATCTATGTTCATTGTTTTACGTTTAAAAAACATAAACACCATTTCTAATGTAAATAATGCCATTAAGGACAGCAACTGCAATAATTACAACTACAAAGGACCTACAATGGACCTGGATAGGATAAAAATAGTATCAGCTAATTGCAGAGGGTTAGCAGAAAGAAATAAAAGGCAAGAGGCTATGAGAATATGGAAAAGAAAGAAATACTCAATTATCTGCCTCCAAGATATACGTATTTCAGAAAAAGATAGAGATATTATGAAAAATGAATGGGGGTTAAACTGTATTATTGCCCCATTTAAAACTAACTCAAGAGGTGTAGCAATTCTGTTTAATAACAACATTGAAATCAAGGTTAATAAATCCCTTATTGATGAAAATGGCAATTTCATAATAACTGACATAACAATGGACGGACTGAATATTACCCTAACTAACCTATATGGCCCAAATAAGGATGAACCTAAATTCTATACTAAATTATTTGATGATATCATGGAATTTGAAAATGAATCACTTATTATATGCGGCGACTGGAATCTGGTGCTTAATCCTTCGGTGGATCTTGAAAACTACAAGAACATAAACAATCCCAATGCAAGAAATACTGTTCTGGAAAAGATTGAAGAATTAGATCTGTTAGACATTTGGAGAGAACAAAACAGTGGATGTAAGAAATTTACATGGTGGAAGAGAAACCCTAAGCAGCAAACAAGACTTGATTTTTTCCCTAGTCTCTCAGGACTTATTCAATATATCTTATGAAACTGATATTGTCCCAGGCTATAAGTCAGACCATTCCCCAATTATACTATCACTTTCAAATAAATTAAGTAATGAAAGAGGCCGTGGTTATTGGAATTTTAACACCTCACTCTTACACAACGAAGAATATATAAAATTGTCAAAAATATATTACGTGATACTCTACTCGAATAAGCCAAAAATATTGACAATGAAGACGAATCGAACAACTTTATGAAAGACGGAACGCAGGAATTGATAATATCTGAATCTTTATTTCTAGAAACTTTCTTAATGAATTTGAGAGGAAAAACAATTTCATTTTCTACATACATTAAGAAAAATAGAGAAAATAACAGAAAGGATCTTGAAGAATCAATACAAATTCTTGAAGAAAATATAAGAAGTGACTTTAACAATTTAAATGAAGAATATTTAGCAGAATTAGCTACTTTTGGAGCATATTAATGAGGAAGATGTAAGAAGAACTCAATTTCTAAAGGGGCGGTGAGGTAGCCTAGTGGTTAAAGCGTTGGCTCGTCACGCCGAAGACCCGGGTTATATTCCCCACATGGGCACAATGTGTTAAGCCCATTTCTGGTGTCCCTCGCCGTGATATTGCTGGAATATTGATAAAAGCGGCGTAAAACTAAACTCAGTCAGTCAGTCAGTCAATTTCTAAAAAGAACAAAATGGTTTGAAGAAGGAGAAAAACGCACCAGCTATTTTCGTCACCTGGAAAACAGAAATTTCACCAGTAAGCTTATAGGAAGTGTTATGAAAGATAATGGCGATCTGATAACTGATGGTAGCGGTATTTTAGACGAACTGAAACAATTTTACAGTAATTTGTATAGAGATATTCACCAACATGAGGATCAAAATGATATTGATTTAAGTTCTATTAACACTCCAAAGATAACTAAAAAGAATTTGAGGATTTGGAAAAAGAAATTAGCTTAGAAGAAATAAATAAGGCTGTTTTATCCATGAAGAATGATAAAAGCCCAGGAATTGATGGCTACCCCATTGAATTCTTGAAGTTCTTTTGGAAAGATTTAAGACCTTGGCTTTATAGATTTATAAAAGAAACCTTTACAAATAATGAATTAACTATTACAATGAACAGGGGAATTATTACTTGTTTACCTAAACCAAATAGAGACAGAAAATTCCTAAAGAACTGGCGACCTATTTCATTACTAAATTCCCTTTACAAAATAATAAGCACATGTATTGCAAACAGGTTTAAATCAATATTAGATACAATTGTACATGAAAATCAAACAGGCTTTATACCTGGGAGATGTATGAGTGAAAATATAAGACTTGTATATGATATTGTATTTGAAACAAGAAGGTTAAATGAACCTGGCCTATTATTACTAATAGATTTTGAAAAAGCCTTTGACACTATCCCCAAAACATTTATAATACAGGTAATAAAAGCGTTTGGGTTTGGGCCCAATATTATCAAATGGATTCAAATTCTAACCGGTAATAATACAGCAGCTCTGATACAAAACGGGCACATCTCCTCGTTTTCCCACCAGGAAAGAGGGTGTAGACAGGGAGATCCAGTCTCACCGTATTCATTTATCCTTGCCGTTGAAATATTAGGTATTATGATAAGGTCGAATCCTAATATAAAGGGTATAACACTTAATGATACAGAACAGAAACTCGGACAATGTGCGGACGATACACAGCTATTTCTAGATGGATCTGAAACAAGTCTCAGTGTTGCAATTGAAACACTGAATAAATTCTATCAAATGTCTGGACTCAAAATGAACTTAAACAAGACAAAAGCTATCTGGATAGGCTCAATGACAGGTAGTAATATAACTTTAGCCAATGACTCCTATCTTGACTGGCACAGTGGAGACTTTGAAATCTTAGGAATAACACTTAATGCTTCTCTTAAAGACCTTTGGGTAATTAACACCAGAAAACGCCTAGAGCATATTGATAGATTACTTGCTAGTTGGCGAAGAAGAAACTCTAATCGGGAAAATCACTGTTATCAAAACTCTAGCAATTTCTACCCTAGTACATATTTTCTCAGCACTTCCTAACCCGCCAAAAACATTCATCGATGAACTCAATAAAATAATCTATAGATTCATATGGAATAATAAAAATGATAAGATTAAAAGGTCTAATATCAGTAGAACTTACGAAGATGGAGGCCTCAGAATGATTGACATTGAACGTTTCATTAACCCTTCGAAATTATCATCACTGAAACGTCACTTACAGAAAACTTCAAATTTTAATAGCATTTTTCCCTTAAGTCAACTGTACTTTCTAGGTTCTAATGCTGTTGATTGCTTATCTGGCAAAGATAATCCCTATTGGAGAGATGTTTTATCTGCATGGAGAATATTTTATAAAAAAACACACCTTTGACAGCGATGACTTAGACCAAATCTTAGCTCAGCCACTCTGGTTAAACCATTTCTTTAAATCTTCATACATGATAAGAAATTGGTTTAAGTGCGGTATACATTATGTCAGCGATATTTGTAATGAAAATGGATTTCTCAGTTTTGAAGATGTAAAGCAGAGGTACAAAATAAGCGGGACCTTCTTAGACTATCATCATTTGTTAAATAACATTCCAATGAACTGGAGACAACTTGTAGGAAACAGAACTCTCTGCTTAAATCAATTAAACATTAATAGAGTTTACCTAGATATGATCTCAAATATTAATGGTTCAAGGATATTCTACGATAAATTGATTAAGAACAACGATACCCCTAAAGTACTAGAGTACTTCAGCAGGATATAATGTAGAGTAATGTATTCAGATATTACAGGAAATGCACAAATGATTGTAAGCTGTTAGATTTTCAGTACAGATTTATTTACAGAATACTCTATACAAAGAAAGAACTATTGAAGATGAAGCTAGTTGATAATGATACTTGTACTTTTTGCAAAAATTCCCCAGAAGACATATTGCATGTATATTTTTACTGTGATTTAGTTAAAACTTTTGGCGAAAAGTAGAACAATTTCTAAATGCCCACCTCCAATGTGATGTCACATTTACAAAATTCACTATCATGTTTGGAATGTTCTCAAACAATAAAATACTAAACCATATTATACTTCTTGCCAAAAGATTCATTTATGTTTCAAGTATAAAACAACAAGCACCTTCCCTTGAGGGATTTCTTAAGTTATTAAAAGATATATATATACAACTGAAAAATATATAGCTAGGAAAAACAATAGCTTAGATCCCTTTATAAGGAAATGGAAACATTTATATACCTTACTATGTGCTAAACATTAAAATCTACTTATAATATCAGCTGAGACCTCCAGACCCTACTCACTACAACCATACTATTCAACCTTACCCCTCCAATTTCATATTCCCTCCACAGAAACTTTAATGACATCTTATGTATCTATATAATTGTTGTAATCTCATGATGTTATATTTATATATATGTATACATGCGTGTATGTATGTGCATATGTATGTATATGTATATATGTATGTGTGCGCGTGTGTGTATATGTTTGCAATACTGTCTTTATTTGGAGGATAGGTGTCACAGTTTGGTAGCTGCAGGCACGGGCAACAACACGGGCAGCTGAATTCTGAATCCGTTGGAGTTGTGAAAGGAGCTGTTGAGGAGTGTTGTAATAGAGGGAGTTGCAGTAATCAAGTTTAGAGAGAACAAGGCTGGACGTTAGAAGCTGCGCGGTGTTGAAGTCTAAGAGGGTTCGGATCTTGCTAATATTGAAGATATGGTAGAAACATCCTTTGCTGAGTGATTTGATTTGATTTTCTAATGACATTGTTGATTGAAAGATGACACCAAGATTTTTTGCAGAGTCGGACTGCGTGATAACATCTTGTCCAATTTCAAGAGGTAAACTGTCATATAGAACCTTGCAAAACATCACTGAAGCTATATACATATATATTTGGTTGTTGTCCTCTTTGCCATATGTATTTTATGTGAGACTTGAAATGGAATAAAAAAACAAACAAAAAAACTATCGACGTGTAACTAAAAAAAAAAAAAAAAAAAGTGTATGCTCAGAGTATGAAGTCTGTGGTTGAATCCAATGTCATACCAACAGGTGTTAGAAGATTGCACGGGTTGTTTCTAGAGCTGTGACGATATATCGTATCGATAATTGTGATACTTTATCTGACGATAAATATATTGATACGTTTTTTCGTATCGTGATATGTATCATTGACCTTAAAATTGTTAATTTTCATTAGATATTGATAGTTATGTCAAAAAATGTTGCTATTAAAATATGATTTTTTAAAGAAAATAACTAAGGAAAGCATATCGTGATATGCATCGAATCGTATCATCCCAAGATATCGCGATACGTATCGTATCGTGAAATTTCAGTATCGTCACACCTCTAGTTGTTTCCCTGCCTTGGGTTCCGCGTTATAAAGGAAATATGTTAAACTTGTGTGTGGTATTACAGTCGACTAACACTACAAAATGATTTTTATGATAAATTGTTCAAATATTGATGAAATTTGTGTATTTTTACCCAGTATTTCAAAACACACACACAAAAAAACATTGCAATATTTCTCATGACCCATATCTAATCATAATTTTTAAGTAGTGCAAGGAAACAGCTTTTCAAAATTTAGTTTTTGCATCTCATTTTAACTAGACAAGTCAGGGCGACCAGCACCAAGTTAAACTTGACAGTAGAGCTGTGCCTGTGCAATACTACTGGTAAACCGGTATATGCCCAGATGCCCAGATAAGCTGCGATTGCGGATAAAATGCGCATAAAAAAGTTCGAATTACGCATTGAAAAATAATTGTAGTGTACCAATTACGCATTAGAAAATGTTAGATACGCAAAAGGTTTAAAACATGCGTGCAGAATATATTTCTAAAAATTGCGTGCATGGTGAAAGACATTGATTGCTATCATTCGTGTTGATTGACAGATTGTTTTTGGTTGCTCAGCAACTTACAAACAATGGTTACACATATCAGTGATATTTTGAGATGTTGTTTAACTTACAGACATTGTGAAAGTGCTAACATGGTCGACTTGATTGTAAATGAGTGATTTTTAATTAAATCATTTCCATAATATTTAAGTTGGTTTTGATTAGGTGTGCCATAATGCAATACATTCCTGCTTAGTAATCAAACTCAATGACATATAGTTAGGTGAGTGAAGTCCCTGAAATACCCACATATTTGAGAGTAACATTCATAATACCCACTCCCCAAAAATACAATGGGTACAGTACCCACATGAGCTCAATCTTATCTGGAGCTTGGTGTACCGGTACATTATCGTGCAATTTGAATATCGCGATATGGTTCACATTCTGCTGTATATTGGATCAGTAAGGCGACATGCACCTCAAGTTTCAAACAGACAGTCAGGGCGACATGCACCTAAAGTTTCAAACAGACAGTCAGCTAGAGTCATTGTACAGTATTTTGGGTCTTATTTGGACTGACAATAATGTCCTTGTTTTCAGTGAACAGTGGTGATCGTATTGCACAGCTCATCTGTGAGAGAATATACATTCCTGAACTGCAAGAATTAGAGGTATGTTCCGTACTTTATATTCTGTGACCTTTATTTTCAACCTCTAACCTACTTTCAAAAGATGTTGTAGTTCATTTGAAAATATGTGGCACCTGAAAAACTAAAACGGATGGAAATTAGTAAAAAGTTTAGTTAAAGGCACAATGAACAACAAGGAGAGTTCTATGGATATACACCTTCTTTAATATGATATGAGCAAAGTTTCGGTGTAGCTACTAACACCGTTATCAAGCAAATGATGTACAATACTAGATGCAAGGTATATTTATATACATAGTAAAGTTGAACAGTAAGTGATGATGTTTACACAATTAATGAGGTAGATTTACAAGGTGGTGGATGTTTACACAAGAGGCCAATAGTTACACAAACATAGTAAGCTGTGGGGGATTAAGGGAGGAAACCAGTGATATATGACAGACAGGAGAATAATAGGATTAAGATTGCTTGGTGATGAGTTGGTTGTAGGCAGTGGGGATGTAATATCCTTGGTCTCTGTTCATGGCCGGTTGGAGTCTCTTGATGTGAATGGCTTCTAGTAGCTTTCTGATCTTGTAGTGGGTGTGATTGCTGGTGAGTACATTGATGCTGTTCCTTAGGATGTTGTGGTCTGGGTGAGCTTGGGTGTGGTCAGAGATGGCGGATTTAGAGTCTTTCTTCTTCACAGAGGCTTGATGTTCTTTGATTCTTACAGGAAGGGGTCTTGAGGTTTTACGCCGATGTACGAGTCTCCACAGTCACACTTTATGTGGTAAACTGTGCCTGAGGGGTCTTCTTTAGTTGTGGGGGGCGGTCTGCCATTGGCTTTTAGGAGGTTCTGTATAGTAGTACCTCTCTGGAACACAACATCAATGTTGACTTGGTGTTTTAAGAGTCGGCTGGTCTAGTGGCTGGCTTAACCTATATAGGGCAAGCTTATTTTGAACGGAGCTGTTTGATGGCGTGGGGGCTTGTTTGTCGGGTTGAGGGTGGCGTTGATGGTGCGGTCTACAAGGCTGGCAGGCTAGTTGTTGTAGGTCTTAAAGACATGGCGCAGATGTTGAAGTTCAGCTTCGAGTTGTTGTGATGTGGAGCTGATGTTTTTGGCATGTCGGGTTAGTGTATAAATATACCTTGCATCTAGTATTGTACATCATTTGCTTGATAACGGTGTTAGTAGCTACACCGAAACGTCGCTCATATCATATTAAAGAAGGTGTATATCCATAGAACTTGTTGTTCATCACACCACCTTCTAAATGCCACTTAAACAAGTAAAGGCACAATGTCGCACATTTTCAACAATATTTTGGCCTATATCATATACATTGGGGCATATTCGCTAACCTGAGCTTCCTGTTGATGCAGTAAAAAAACAACTTATCCCTTCCAACTTGCCTGATATCGATAATTTAAACTTCGGGGTGAACAGCTTCCAAACAGACATCACTTGCCATGTACGGAATGAAAATGATTGCTTGAAAACTGTCACGCACAGTGTCTGCGTTTTGCGAACTGGTTTCAATCACAGGTGCGTAGGATATCAGGGGTGGAAATAACTTTAACATTGCTAGTGTACTCCGGTACAGTGGCACATGTACAATCACTTTCCCTGATACTTTTTCCCCTATACCGGTGGTTTTCTTGTTGATTTTTTAAAATAAACAACATAATGAACATTGGAAAGTCAACTGGACACCGGTACAGTGTGATATACAAATTTGCTTGCCCGACAGAAAAAAACACTTGACTCCAACGTCGAGCAATGGGTTATTTCCACCCCTGGATATTCCTAAGGCCTAAAAAAATAATCTTGTGGTTCCGTTTACCCGACCGACCCTAGAATTCTGGTGCCGACCCTATTTTTTTTAAGCGGTATGAATTAAATGAGATTTCAGGTTTGTTTTTTTGTACCGACGGATAGAGAAAGAAGTCGACATGATGGCCTAAACCTTTATTGCATAAACAATTATACATTGAATTATACTAGTTTGTACTTTACTTCTAAAGAAAAAGGAAAAAAATCTTACTTAGCTACCCTTAATTTTAAAGAGGTGTAATCGGAGCCACATTTTTTTTTTTTGGCCTAAAGAGTGCTCCAAGGGACATAACTATGGGGTTGAAATAATGTTTGTCCGACAAGGGCGCGAGTGTCAATTTAATGCAACTTTGCATTAATTCGTTCAAACGAATTTTGATATTGTAATCTAAATGTGTAAAAGAAAAAGTTGGAATAAATTATATGGTAGCTTCCCTGAGGGCTGATAGTTAGTATTATTGAGAGACATGCATTATGTATTTAAATGTGGTGTGACATTGTGCCTTTCAAACAATGCCTTTATGAATGCATAATGCCATTTAGAAAGTGGTCAATTGTAACAGGTTATATTTGGGATTACACTATCCCGTCTAACCTACTCAGCCACTCAGAAGAAGGTGGGTTCAACAGCTGACTTTGTGTGCTGGCAATTAGGTGCCTGACTGAGAGGGTCAGGTCGAATCCCGGATGGGGCTCAACCCCCCAAAAAGTTCTAGAATTTGTACTTTAATGGGAAAGTGTCATCCCAAATATAACATCTGTTACATAATGTTTTATGTCCTTGTGCTATCATACTAGGATACGTTCTATATATTTACAGAAGCTTGATGCAACTGAGCGAGGATCCGGCGGGTTTGGATCAACTGGCAAAAACTGATTGTCTTCCTTGTGTAATATAGATTATATGCAGTGGCACTGGATCCCAGAAAGTGTGGCACATGATGCTGCCAGATAAGGAAGTGCTGATCTGATTGAACAGTTTTTGGGAAGTAGTATGCATTCACACGTTGTGTTGCAACAGAGGAAGTCTGTCAAGAAGCTTCTATCGTTTCATATTTCGCATTTATTTTTCTAATCATCACCTTTAGGTGTATAATCATCACTTGCCACTTTGTCTTCCGATTTGGTGAGTTTTCTCGTGAAACTACCAAAACACTACCTGGCATTAAACATTGTTTCTTATTTCGTGAGTTATCTTTATTTTTGTTCGTCACACCGAGGACTCGGTGTAGCAGCCCAGAATAACCCCCCACCAGATTATACCCCAGGGTAAACTATGGGCTAGCCCAGTTTATACCCCAGGGGTATATTCTGGGACCAGGCCAAAGTATACCCCTCCAGCCCAGACTATACCCCTAAAAAATTATGTTGACAATTCACTCAATATGAGCGTGTGACTCAGGGCAATGGTCTTTGTGTCAATTAAAGGAATTTGTAGGTGCATTTTATTTACATTACCGCATAATACAAAATTTATGAAGCATTTGTTTAGTGCCTCTCTGCGATGTGATATTTTCGACTTTATGTAACCCAGCCATGCTGATATATCATCAAGGTTAGTAGTTAGTTATCTGCTTTATCTGCTTTAACTAAGGTATTTCGCGACGGGAATTACACTTATTAAGAAATGAGGTGGAACCAAAAATAGAAAATTTGAGAGAAAACTGATTTGAAAAGTTAAAAAAACATATATACATATTTATAACCATTTTAAGATGGTAAAAAGTGGAATTATTCTATTATTGTTTTGGGAGATTTGATGGTCTATGGAGATCATCAAGGTGTTTGTGGAATTATTTTATACCTACCTTCTTGTTTTGACACAAATTAGTTTGACTTTTAGAGAGAAAACATATAAGTTAAAAAAATTAAACAAAACATTTTGACAAGTGTTAAACCAATCAAATGTGAAATGAGAAAGATTAAACCACATGCTACAAACACATTACATTGTAATAGAAACTCAACAACATGAACAGATTAACTACGGGCACACTCTACTCATCAATCTAATTACGGCTGTACCATTTTGGAGGTGGGTGTTGTCTTAATTAATACCTACTCCACTGTCAAACAACTGGCTGTCTAACTAAGGGGAGATATCCGGTGTGAGAAGGGGCTGGTGATAGTGTGAGTAGGGGCTTTCACGAGATGGAGTGTGTGCAACAGATGCAGAAGTTATGTCAACAGCCAGTCTGTTAAAATGTGACATTTATATTTACAGTGCAGTTGGTCAGTCAATACAATGGCTGATGTACCCTGCCAGCTTCAGCTTGAAAACTCACACTGATTATGCTTTGTATCTGGAAAATGTATCGGACCATTTCAATGTTGTAACCAGTGTTTAATTGTGTGAGAAGTACAATACAATTATAGTAGTATCCTTAATCACTTGTTTTCTGTAGGGGGATAATCTGGGCTGGGGGGTATACTATGGCCTAGTTCAGAATATACCCCGGGGTATAAACTAGGCTAGCCCAGATTATACCTGGGGTATAGTCTGGGCTAGCCCAGTTTAACCCCGGGTATAGTCTGGGACAGCTATATGGCGGCGGTCTGTAAATAATCGAATCTGGACCAGACAATCCAGTGATCAACAGTAAAGAGGTAGGAGCATCAATCTATGCTATTGGGATACGATGACATGTGTCAACCAAGTCAGCTAGCCTGACCACCCAGCCTCGTTAGTCACATCTTACGACAAGCATGGGTTGCTGAAGACCAATTCTAACCTGGATCGAGTCCAGACCAGCCAATCCAGTGATCAACAACATGAGCATCGATCTACGCAATTGGGATATGATGACAGTCAGCGAGCCTGACAGCCCAAACTGGTTAGTCACCTCTTACAACAAGCACAGGTTGCTGAAGACCAAAACGGCATGTTCCTTTCTTCATATAGACAACTAGTAGGACTATTCATGAAGCCATAGACGCATGTAGAGGTGTGACGATACAGAAATTTCACGATATACGTATGGCGACATCTTGGAATGATACGATTTGATATGATGCGTATCACGATATGCTATCATTAGTTATTTTCTTTAAAAAGGTGTATTTTGATAACAAGTAACAGTGTAAATTTTAACATAACCGTCAATTTCTAGTGAAAATTCACAATTTTTAGGTCAACGATACACGTCACGATTCGAAAAAAGGATCGATATTTATCGTCAGAAAAAGGTATCACGATTATCGATACTAGGAAATATCGTCACAGCTCTAGACACATGTGCATCCTATGAAAGTAAAATAACCTTGACAGTGACCCCCCACCTCTAACATATCTACAAAATATAATATTTCAACTGAACTTCGAACTGTACTGTGATCCAGGCAACTGATCTCTATAATACACTTTTAAATCATACAAGATTATGTCCTGTTAAAATATTCATCATATTAGCAGCTTAATGATGAAACAAACCCCTGTCATGTTGACATATCTTATTCTCATGTATTAGTGTAGTCTTTTGCTTAGTTTCTACATTCAAATTTTGGGCTAGACGAATTTGCACTGACGGGCGGAGTCCATGATAACACACTTACCCACTCTCTTCTTCTTCTTTCTCTCTCCCCCCCCCCCCCCTTCTCTCTCTCTCTCTCTCTTCCACACACACAACACACTCACACCGCAAAGTGAGGTATATATGTTCGAGTTAATGCATGATGAAAGGATTGGTTAACATGTCTTAGTCAAAAATAGTAAGAGTTGGTTGCCTGTTTTCGCCATTGGTACCTTTACTGTGACGGGCGGCACAATCTTGTGACAAGGTTTTATTAACAGCATGTCTCATTAAAGCAAGACAAGTTATCGTCCTTAAAAAAAACAGGCACCTGTACGTGAGTGTCTCTGTCGTCTCTGAAATATGATCTTGTATGTTCGAATCCAAAATTGATTCTGATTATGTGTCTAGGTTAGCAATCATCACATCTGTGCTCGTAAGCAGTAAAATATATAGGTGCATCACTACTGGCTTTCCGACACATCCTTCCACAGCAAGCTGGCCCACCGTGAGTGAGTGAGTTTAGTTTACGCTTATTAATATTCCGGAGGCGGACACCAGAAATGGGCTTCACACATTGTACCCATATGGGGAATCGACCCGGTGATGAGCGAACGATTTAACCACTAGGCTACCCCTGACAGAGATCAAATACTGCTCAAACCGGCATTTAACAAAATCATTCACTGACTCACTAAAGGTATTAACACAAACATCTAACAAGTACTGGTTCATTCAGCTTTTAACAAGCACCCAGGCAACACACATTCGCTGTTCTAAAAAAAAACTCATTGTGGCAATCACTGAATTGTCTGGTCCAGAATCGTGCCGACATGGGTGCAATGTGTGGAGCCCATTCCAGGTGTCCCGTGCCGTGATATTGCTGGAATGTTGCTAAAAGCGGCGTAAAACTAGACTCACTCGAGTTGTTACAGAACACCTCATACTGCTTAAACATTGCTGAGTTAGTGAGTTTAGTTTTACGCCGCAGTCAGCAATATTCGAGTCTAAGTACTGACTGACTGACTGAGTATGGTTTTACGCCGTTTTTAGCAATATTCCAGCAATATCACGGCGGGGGACACCAGAAATGGGCTTCACAAATTGTACCCATGTGGGGAATCGAACCCGGGCGTCGGCCTGACGAGCGAACGCTTTAACCACTAGGCTGCCCGACCGCCCCCGAGTCTAAGTAAACTTAGACTCAGTATTATTCGTTACACTGCTGTCAGTATAGCAGTGTAACGAATAATACTGAGCCTAAGTTTACTTAGAATGGCAATATGTAAATAATCGAGTCTAGACCAGACAATCCAGTGATCAACAGCATGAGCATCGATCTGCGCAATTGGGAACCGATGGCATGTGTCAACCAAACCATCGAGCCTGGCCACCCGATCCCGTTAGTCGCCTCTTACGACAAGCATGGGTTACTGAAGGTTCATTCTAACCTGGATCTTCACTGGTCATAAACATTGCTGAGAGCTGCCTTGAGCAACAAAAACAAGGAAAGCGTACGAGCAAGAATTAAATTGAAACGACGAAACCCTTTCCACGTCCATAACAAATCTCCGATAAAAGCAGAATCAATATTGTACAGTTCTGACTTCATCATGAGCAGGTGTTGGTTTGACGCTACATTCAGGCAGTATTACAGCTGTACGATGCGGTCTGTAAACGATCGATTCTGGACCAGAAAATCCAGTGATTGACACCAAGATATGATGACAGACTTCATCATGAGGCAGACTTTGACGCTACATTCAGTGTTTATGAAAGATCGATTCTGGACCAGAAAATGGATGATATGATGACAGGTGTTCGCGAAAAGGTGAGCGTATCCTGCCCCACCGATGGCATCATCATAAATACATGCAAAGATTTGTCAACACCTCAGACTGTTCAAAACAGACATGGAGCATAGCAAAAAATGGAAGAAGTGGCGATCCACTTGGCCTTAAAGCGTCAGAGTAGATTTGTGTGTGTGTGAGAGAGAGAGAGAGCAAACCCAACCACAAGCAGAACAAACAGCAGTTGGAATGTGCGGTCGATATCTACCTTTAACTGAAAGGTGGGGTCCCGGCGGTGAAATTGCTGTATTTTTGTTTTCTTAAAGCGGCGTAAAATATGTTTGGGGCTAAATAATGAAACCTGTAGTATTGAGCTTGAGGGAGGATCTGGCAACATGGCGCGTGTGTGATGAGAGAAAAAAAACGTTTATTTGTAACCTGGCAACAGTTAGTATCCAATGTACCCCCCCACTTGTTGGGTAAGTGCCTTTATTACCTTTATTAGGTCACATTCTGACGTAACTATTTTTTCATTCATAACGAACACGTGAATTCATTCATTCTACAACTTAAATGCATTGTGGGAATGTAAACATCGAGAACGTTGCCGTGTCGCTGTTTAATTGTGAGTCGAACTGAGACATTATATCCGTCGAAAAACATAAACGCAATGTTTCCACCAGTGATGTTAGCCGAATGAAGCAACTGGAAACCAAGAAACAGGTGCTACGGAGTAGTTTACTGTAGGAGGCTGTTCGAGGCGATGACAACTGACATGCATCGTGACGTCGGTTACCAAGGCAGTGACGTCATTTTGGTGTGACGTCATGCAAATATTGTACTACAGTACAAAACTTCCGCAACCCCTTTATGAAACCGGTTT